TAAAGTTGCAGTCACGTCATGTTATTATACTCAATATATGTAGAGTTTCATATTAAGCGTCAATGACGATGAATGACTCGTTTTGTGTGTGAAGGGAAGAATGAATTGAGGAGAGAACAGGAAAAATGGGTTGCGTTTTGGTTGTGCAGAATTTTTGGAATTGAAGGGGGGGTTAGAATGTGATGGTTTGTCTCTTTTGAGTGGTTTTTTCAGTTTTAACTAGGATCTTGCGTATCTTGGGTCAAATCAAATAATTGTATTCGATAAACGACATCTGCGACACTGTTCCTACGGTTTTGGGGCTTTTTCAATTGGATTTTATACCTTTTAATGGATCACGTTCAGTTTTGATATCAAAGGTACCGTCCATTTTCATCAGGCAATTAAGAATCAAACAATGTTTATGTTTTGCGAGCATAGATCAACCTGTGGTCGGCAAAGAGTTTATAAAATCAGTTGAAACTTTAAAGATTTGAATTTGATTTTTTAAACATTTCGGGCGGTAAAATTTAAATTCAGGAAAAACGTTATTTTATGCTATTAAATAATATAGTACTTAGTTTATTTCATAGCCTTTTTGGGTCAGTAAACATTTTGATATTCAAAAAATTAGCATTAAGTAGCTTAATTCACTAGACTTTGGGATTTCTCAAAATAATTTTTTCTTCGTCATGTTTGTTTACATTTTGACGAAAAATATTTGAAAAAGAAAATGCGAAATTTTATCAAAACCAGATGAAATATTGAATCCATAAACAGTTTTAAACAAAGAATGTGTATCTATTTTATGTTTAAAATAGTAATCTGTAAGAAAACACAAGGATTTTGACTGAAAATTAACAAAATTTTCTGATTGGCTAAAATTCATAACGGATTAAGTTCTATAAATAAGGACTACTAAAAAAGTACTAAATCTAATTGTTTTAAAAATAAGATCCGTTTGCCGACCATAGAGATCACCAAAAGCTAATATGATCCATTTGCAGCCTCTGTTCAGTCAGTAAATTCTTGTAAAAGTATTCTCAAGTTCTCACTCTACTTAAATAATGATTCAGTTATGCTAAGCTCATTCATATCTCATAAAATGGCAATAAAACAAGAATTAAGCATAAAAATGCGCATCGAAACAATAAAATTTTACACTCAGTGCGTCATTTTATTTCATTTTACTCACTTTAAATGACGATTATCAAGCGATAAAAAGAACTGCATTGTATGTGTACATGATTTTCATATTTTACTAATGCATTAGAGCCAATTTTCATGTAAATATAAATGCACTCATACAATGCATTCTGTGCATACAACGAGAGAATGCCAGAATCGTTTTCTTCAATAATTATGTGTCGTTATTCTAACTTAACACGCCATGCTGAGCTTCAACATATAAATTGTATACAAACTTGTGAAAAAAAATATCATTTTCAGATGTTTAATGTGCAAGTAAAAAGTTTTTTTTAATGATTTACTGCAGTCATTTATATTCACGTAATCAAGTCATAATCATCTATTTGTTTTTAACAATTACCGTTTGGAAGGTATGTTATGCTGTTATATTTTTATTATATTATACATAGAAGCTTAAAGCGATAACTTTGTAATATTCGTAGTGTTTAGAATCGTGTGGCGTGATTTGAACATCGTATTATTGTATCTACATGCAATCTTATTCTATGGGAGAGAATTATGAAATAGGAAAAAAGTGTCAATCTAATGAAATGAAATGTAATAAATAAATTGAGGGAAAGAAAGCAATTTTCTGTAAATTAAGCGGTATGAAACTGGAAATAGTTTTTGAATTTCCTTGATTTAATACTCAAGATATTAAATTCAATGTAATGAACAATTTGAACACGAAAATGTTGTATTAGTCAAGTAATTAAGCATTAATTGCTGATATTTAGTTGTAAAATGGAATTTTCATGGCTGAATGAGTGATTTCATCTCTTTTTCGATATTGTGTTCCTTACATTCATAACTTGTATTGACACTAGTTTGGTCCTTCTTTAATAGTTAAAAAGCATTAATTTACTTTCAGAAGCTTGATTCTGAATTGAATAGTACCAAAAAGTGTGCAACGTGAAGTTGGCTACAATTATTAAGATTTAAAATTTCGAATTTCTAACGAATGAATATTCAAAAAATTAAAACTCGTGCACCTCTTACAAGAAGCCTGGACAAACACTTGCATATAATAGAACGCAGCCATTTCAATTTATTACTTCAACAAATGAAACCTCAAAGCTGCTGAAAAACTGTAAAATGAGATATTTCAGTGTAAGTAATAGCACGAGAAAAATTACAAAGTTCCATTAGGCAAGAAAAATCAATAAAACTTTCTGATATTTAACCCCATTAGTAACAATAAACTATCTAATTTATTAAGACAAAATAATAGTCAGCTTTTGTGCTCTTAATTCAATTTCCATTTTATACTGCCATTATTATGTGCAAATATGTCATAAGTATCATACACTTTAGCATTAATCACATTAGTAGAGTAAAAATCACACCGTACCGTATATGTTCATGTACTAATAACTTAAGTAATTCAAAATACACCAATAATGTCATTAGAGTGAAAAAATTTACTGTTTTGTTGAATGACACTACAAATATTGTTTGAGCAACGGCAAATAGATTTCAAATTGACATTTCGTTCGATATAAAAAAAATTAATGTCTCTTTTTTTTTGTCTTGTTTTAGAAGTCAACTTAATTATAGAAATTGAAACGCATTAAATATACTCTGCTGTGCTTTCATCTCCATTCTTTGTTCTCGATGTGCAAAGTTAGTTGCAAAAAACAGAAGATGATTGAAAAGTTTTGGGGATGCTTGGTGGATGAGGTGCATTTTGAGCTGAGCTGTAGGATTTTGAATGTTTAACGAATTTTTGAAATTTAAAGTTTTAAAGATTTTTTGTAATTCAAATTTTAACGAACTTTGTAGATTAAAATTGTCAACATTTTTTCAAACTTTAACCTTTAAATCAATGCATACTTTACAACAGTAATCAACCCATCCAGCCATCTCTAACCCCTTTTACCCACTCAATTCCAAAAATCTGCACAACAAAGAAAACTTTTACGATACTTTGTTTGTTCAATTGTGCTGCAATACATCCATAGAATCAAGCAAGAGAGAATTAATAATTAAGTTACAAAATGGGTTCAATTTCATTCCATAATAAAGTGATGCTAAAGTAAGTGTAGCTTTATTTATACGAAAGTTTACAATTTCTTTGCCTTCTTCTTCTTCTTCATCTCAGTATGGGTATTATATGCTGTTGAATAATTGTTATTTTTATTACTGTGTCACATGATACTCTGTAGTCTCTGTAAATTACACATAATTGCACTCCATTTCACTCTATTCTGTACACATCTTCAGTAAGAAGTTGTTGCGCTTGTTGAAATTGGAAATTGATTTTGTATGTCTGTAGTTAAAGATAATTTAATTTCATTTCGTCTTTCCTTCTTCCTCCTTTTATGAGCTGTGTTCATGCTCGCTGTCTTCTCTTTCTCAACTGTGTGCTGTGTACATAATTTAAACTTTAAAGCAACATGAATTATTGCTAAAATATAGCACTTTTCAATCATCAATTCACAATTCTCCTTTTTCTGCTGTATACAGACCAGCAAAATCAAGAAAAAGAATTAAAGAAAGAAGAAAAATTGTGAAAATGAGAAGCAGAGAAGAACAACAACAGCACAAAATAAAAGACAGACGCCAATTTAGTCTCTGAAAAATCAGCACTCATATAATACACAAAACAGATATACAGTACACATCGCATTTTCAACATTGGTTAAAGAGTCATTATGGAAAAGAGCATAAGCTCCTCCTTGTTTGTTTGCTCATTCAATAAAGTGCCTCTTTTACAGTTAAACGTTTCTTTTTTTCTTCACTCCACATTCATCTCACTTTTCTTCTTCTTCCTCTCTACTTTTGCTGTATTATTCTTTTTTATGTGTGGATTTATATGCTGTACAATCGTTCAACGTCAATTTGGTTGTTGTTGTGAATGTGCTTTGCTGAGATAAATGATTGAGATTCGATTCTTCTTCTTAACGGACATTTTTTATTTGAATTTTTTTTCTCGAGCTGATTTTTATTTGAAATCTCAGAAACCGTTGAAATTTTATATTTGTAAAATAATTGTGAATTTAAAGTTTTAAGAAAATTCCAAGATGAAGGGAAGCAGGAATAAACATTAGAAGCAATTTATCTTGTCAAATAGTACTTAACACGAACAAATTAAAGTGGAAATCGAGAAAAAAAATCACTTTTCTTTGTATTTGTGAATATTTTTTCAACTTTACTTGTGTGCGTGTGAAATAAGATTGTGTTGGTGCTTTTGATACTCATTCTCACTACTCAACATTTATGAAAGAAAAAAATTGTGTATCACCCTAAACTGTTTAGTTTGCTTTCAGCTTTATTGTCGTGAGGATTGTTTGCGCAAGAATCGAAAAGAATATTTTTTTTGTGTTCTTAATTCCTCAATTTTATTTCATTTTCGACATTACGAAAGAATCTTAAGGAGAAGAAGAAGTTGTGATCATTAATTGCAGACATTAATCACAAGTTTGACGTCGGAAGTCGATAAAGTTTTTGGATTAATTTGACATTAAGATATTTAAATGTTCTAGCCTTAAAGCAAGTGGGCAAAAAGTGAGATGAAAAAATAAAATCAAGATAAAAAATTAAAATTAAAAGTAAAAAAAAAGATTCAGCGAACCGTTATTAATTTATGCATCTGAAGAAGTCATCGGTAGAGTGTGAAACTTTAATACATGTATCCATGATTATTATGAACTTCCAATTTCAAATGCACATAAAATGAAATAACATAAATGTTTAAGCATAAATGCTAATGTGTGAGCTTTTAAAGTAAACAAAGATTTCATTTTGGATGTAATTTTCCGACTTGGTGATTTTTCACATTTTTTATTATTATTACTATTTTTTTTTGGTTAAAAATTCACTGTTAATAAAAACACCAGCTGACGCTTAACATTAAAAAACTTAAAAAAACATATAAACATAACCTTAGTGTTCAAAAAGATTTCAAAATAATTCAGTGTTTGAGCTTGATGGGCTACGAAAGCCCATTAACAATCGCAAAAATTAATTCGTTATCGGATATTTCGGGCATGACTGTCCCGATACAAATGCAACGTGGTGGATCAATGGCATTGCTGCAACCACCACGATCAAAGTTTATGATCAATGATATTCTTGGCGGTAATGGAAAGTTGACAAATCGCTCTGGAACAGACGATGAAGATCGATCTCCAAGTCCACAGCCAAGAGATTTATCACTCCCGCCAAATTCAATGAGACATCATGCTGATGATAGTGACGATGAGCAGAGTGATTCTAGCATGCTTGATGATCATAGTATATGTAGTGGTAAGTTGACTGCATTTTTATATTTTTTTTTTGAGATTGTCAAATTTTAAAGATCTTCTTCCTTATCTTGTGGTTTACTTTTATTTATTCTTGTTCTATATGATGGTTCTTGTTTAATTTAATTACTAGTGAATTAAAATTCTGATTAAAATTCTAGAATCAAAATAAAAGAATCGAATTTTCAATGCAAAACTTCTAGAATTTAAATAAAATTTGATTTCAATTCCAATTCTATTTCGATTCTAGAGTCAGAATTTAAATTGAACGAATCAATTTTGGAATTGTAATTCAAATTCTTCCTTGAGATTTTACCAATAACTTGATGTTTCGACAGGAACTGAACACAAAATGAGGGCAATTACTGCATTATCAGATTAAACATGAGCATATGGTCCAATAAGGACGTAAAGGAACTAGCGGAAAAGAATTGATTCATTCAATTTAAATTCTGATTCTAGAATCGAAATAGAATTGGAATTGAAATCAAATTTTATTTAAATTCTGATTAAAATTCTAGAATTTTTCAATCAAATTTCGATTCTTTTATTTCGATTCTAGAATTTTAATCAGAATTTTAGTTCACTACTTTTAACTAGTCAATTACGTTTATTTTCAAGAAAAGTTCACAAAACTTAATTTTTGGTCAAATTTTGTCAACTAAACTTCCATCAAAAAATTACCAAAATTTCAATTTTTCCACAATCTAAGAATTTTTGAGGATTTTCAATCTAGAAAACTCTTAGAGCATGATTAAGTGTTAAAATCATTGAATTTCGAGCAAGAAACTACAACAATTACTTGAAATCATTAAACATAGTTGACGTTGGATTGGCTAATATAATTTTTAACTCTCAAAATTCAATTCAACTTCAAATTTAAGCTTTAAAAATGCAGAAAACAAAACATAAACTTAATCACAAAAATCTCCATTCGCCAAAAGGCCAAAACTAAAATTATCTCAATTTTTAATCAATAATTTGACAATTCAAAAAGTCATTCAAACAATTAACGTTAAAAAAAACTTAATATATTGTGTAACAAACTGGTGACATTAATCATATAATCAGCTTATGAGTGCCCAGATGACATATAATCATATTAAAATGTATTTTTATTTCTCCTAAATACCTTTTAAAATGCTTTTAGCAGCAGTTTAAAAATTTATATATTTTATATATTTTTCAATTTAAATTAGATCGACATTAACTTCTTTTTTCTAAGTCTTGATATGTGTGTGACATGAGGATAGAAATGAGAGAAATCGACAAAAAAATTAAATATATATTGTATCTCAATCTGTTATTCATTTAATTTAATTCCTAATGTATCAAAAGAAAGAAAAAGGTCTTTGGATGACTTTCTTTTTCATTATTTCTGATTGCGTTCATTTGTTGTGGATTAACTTACCCTTGATGTACCTAAATCAAGGTAAATTTCATATCATGTGATGAACGGAAAGTCACAAAAAATGTTCAAATCATTTGAATGTGTAATTTCATCTATTAAGGCTTTAAAAGATATTTTTGAGATTATTGGAATTGACATAATTGAAGTGTGAGACAAATGACTTGAATTTTTATTTGTTTTTTTTCTGTTCAGGAAATCTTTGAAAAAATATTCACTGCTGACATCATTTGACTTATGCAGTTTGAATGCGGCTATTTTTATTATTACAAAATGTTTATTTGTCATGGATTTTGTATGGAAAGTAGAAATTGAATTTTTGTGTGGGTTGCAAAATTTTTATTTGACATGACTTTTGTGAAAAATGTTCATATTTTATTTCATTTCTTTCGTTTGATCTAATGATATTGAATAACTGGTTTCGGGGTTTGAATAAAATGCTGTTCCTTACTGAATCTTGGAATTGAAATTTTTTTAATTCTAATTTTCAACTCTTTTTCAAAAAAAAAATCAAAAAAATTGATCAAAAAATTCAAAATTTCAAAATCCGTTAAAAAGTTCAAAAATCTGCAACTTAGTTCAAACTAATAATAGAGCTTGACAGATCAAACTAGATCAAAGACCCAATTAAATCAAAATTAAAAAAATCCAGTTTTCATTTTATTCTCCTCATAATCAGCTTAAAAAGAATTTATTGAGAACATTAAACGTGTACATCTGACCATACAGGCTATAATTTTTATTTTTTATTTTTTTCTCTTTTCATTTTATCGCTCATTGTTTTATATCTCACAACTTTATTAATCTACATGATTTATTTATGTATGTACGGTACATGTTATATCGTGTAAGATTCGATAATAAGGAGTGTTGTGGAGATTCTAGAAATGCAGAATATAGGCATTTGTTATCTTGAAGTATTCAGAGTTTTGCTAGGTTGATAAATTAAGAAAATGTAGGAATGGTCAATTTATTGAATTAATAGTGGGATCGATAACACAATGATAGAACCAGGGGTGGAGCAAGGAATTTGAAGAGGAGGGGGGGGGGGCAAAACTTTTTATATGTGGCCAAATGCCCTGGCTACGCGACTGAATAGAACTTTTAATATTCAACAAAAAGAGAGCTTAATATCCAATGTAGATTTTTATAAGATTTGACCTTAATTTTGAGGTTAGAATCTTTTTAATTCCATCAATTTAAAACTGAATCCCCCCCAAAAAACGCAATATTTTGCCAACAATAACCCCGAATTATTATCCGATAAGACATAATTGCTTCAAATGAACTAATTCAGCTACCATTAAGGAATTTTTGTCAATTCATTACAAACATAATGAATCGAAATAATCCACAAACATTGGCATGCTTTAAAAAGACATTTACTGGAATTTCCTGACACACAAAAACAAAAAAAAAAATATAATATAATTTTTATTGTTTGATTTAATGGAGGAAAAATTTCTCTCGCATTAATTTCAGGAATGGAAGGTAGCAAAAAAGAGCTTACGTTAATATTTACACTCACATATATTCGCTAATTTGAATATATTATAGCATTTATTAGTTCATAGATCATTAACTTCGGCTGCTACGCTATAAATTAAAATAGAAAAAAGCTTCTAATTTTCAAAGCACATTTTTTTTTGTTCACAAAAAGCATATCCGACGAGAAAATAAAGTCTCATGCTAATTTTATAATGCGTAACGAAACATTTTTTTTTTCATTATTATTGTTCATCGTTAAGCCTTTTAATATCTCAATTCTTAAATATTTCAACCTAATTACTATTTAATAACATCATCAGATTGAGAATGCTTGCGCATGAAAGGCATGGCAGGCAATAACAATAGAATTTTTCTCATTCTTTCGCACTCATCATGTAGGGGCTTTGGAGATGTGGTGGTGTTAGGATGGAGCTTTAATAAAATTTTAAAAATTCCAATTTAACGGTTATCAAAAAATTCAAACTTTAACGGTTTTCAAAAATTCAAATTTTAACGGTTGTCAAAAATTCAAATTTTTTTTGGAAAAGTGAGAAAATGATCAAAACCTTTGTCTGACTCTCAAAACCCTTAAAGAACCCTTAATCAACCTGCTTAATGTATTCGATGTTTACTGAACAATTTCATTCGTTTCCCCCTAATCCATTCCTCACTTAATTTGTAAGATAAAAGCTTTACACATATTACAAATCTACAAACATACACTCATGAGAAATTGAAGCTCGATAAAAGGTTAAAGATAAAATACAAAGTATATAGTGTCTATCAAAAGATTAACTACATTAAATTTTCATAGCAAGAATGAGAGGCAATTCTACTAAATGTGGTAAAGAAAGTCATAGACATATAGGAAAACAATGGAAACATAAATTTTAATTTGTATACAATGAAAATTCGGTTAATTTCATTTTACACGCTTCACAATAATCGCTTCACTGATGAATAGTTTGTTAAGGAAATGGCTCGAGTGTTGTGCTCTTTAACAGCTTCAAAATTCTTTCATTTTTATGGAAATATGTTTTTTTTCACTCTTGAATTAAATTGTTTTGATGAAGAAGAGATGTCAGAGGTGAAGATGATTTATTGGGCTGAATTGAAGGTCATTTTTGGATACTCAAGTTCAAAAATTAAAACTTTTGAAAAATTGTTAAATTTTCAAGTTTTTGAAAACCGTTAAATTTTTTGATTTTTAAAAATCCGTTATAAACTTTGAAATTTTCCAGTAAAAAAGCTTCCCCCAACCCTGCATTAGACAACAAACAAGATAATTTATTCATAGATGCTTAAATGCAATTCCTCATAGTTTTCTACTGTTATTAAATGCTCTTCATGTCAGAAGTAAAAAAATGATGGAAATAGAAGAAGAAGAGGCAAAAAAAAAATCTCATGCATAATTCGCAACACTGCGCATAATCAAATACTAAATATTATAGCTACCACAAGCAAGCAAAGCATAATGTAATAATTAACATGCGAATGAGGCTTTTATTGACGCTGAAATGCCAGACATTTCTATGAACCAAAACAACTTCCTCACATACCTTTTTTGATATGGAATCGCTCATGAAATTCAAATAAAATTGGAAAAGTTAAATATTATTGCTGAATGCCAACTTCTCTTTCGTTTAATTAATGAACATGAAACATTAATTACTATCCGATATGCTTAATATATTTCTTCTTCATAACCGACTTACAAATTTTCGTTAAATTCTCATAATTTAATGGGACATGCAAATGAGCAGCAAAAAATAAAGGGGTTGAAGCAAGAAGTTTCCGTCCAACAAGGAACATAATTACTCAACTTAAAATTGCAAATGTCCTGCTTCTCTTAAAATAAAAGCAATGTATTTAAATTCTTTGTTTTATGCTCATTGTCACGCAATTGCACTATTAAACTTCAGTACTGGTCATTTCTCTAACTTATTTTTTTTGGTGCCTTTTGCTAACCATTCTTATTAATGAGGTGAAACCAGAAGGAACTGAGAGAATTATGTGTATGGCAAGAGGGTGGGCTAGTTGGAAAGTTATGTGCTCACAGTTTTTTATTTATTGTGACATCAGAAAATAATTTTATTACGACTAAATGT